CGACGCTCAAGGTCAGCAAATTCATAATTATTTTCATTTCCCCCACCCCCTCTCCCTTCCCAATATGAAAAGGAGGTCGGGTTTGGCTTACGTAGGTTATATTTAGCTCTTTGTACACCGTATCTGCATGGTAAGATGTACATGTCAGGCACCACAAGGGCTTGTCAGTTGTAGTGAACTTCAATATAGGATCGCCTGCCTTCCAAATCTGCAACTGCCGAATAGCGGCGTGTTGCGTCGTTACCGTTCTGTAACTAAATAACTCACTCAGACAATTGTAAGGTACTGCACTTCTGGGGCAGAACGGCAGCTGCAATTACCCTGTATGGAACAGAAACGTTCCCCTAACATTTTAACGACAGCGTGAAGGAGCTTTCCGAACCCTCTGGCGAAGCCTGCATGCTTCTCTCTTTAATTAGAGGGTATCTTACTAAGTATTGATCACATTAAGCCATATTCGCACACCCATTGACATGACATGCTTGGGATACCACGTGCCTGGGATCTTCGCCATGCAACTGGTGCTGGGCTACGACTACAGAGAGAAGCCCAGGTGACTCATTCTGGGTGAACGCTCTACTTGATCAATTTAGCCTCTTTTTTTTTTTTTTTTTTCTCACCTCTGGACCAATGTCTGTGGGCCTGGTTTCCTTAGGATGGTGTGTTTATTAAATGTGTATGGCAGGTATGATTGCAGTTTTCTAAGAGGCTGCAGACTGGCCATCAAGGCTCGCTGCGCCTGTACGATTCACTATGGTGCGACTGTGAGGTTTGCTGCGCCTGTAAAACACTCGAGTTTTCGGCTGTGCTGGGTATCTCAAACTCATCTCGCTTCTCCTTTTAGCCCTCGCTTCTCCGGAGCATGCTGCAGAAAGGCCCAAGCCTTCCCTGTTTAGAGAGCTCATCTATGGACAGGGGTGTTGGTTGCAGTCATGTCGGTCTAAGGACACAGGCAGACATGAGTCTTTAGGTAAATCTTTTATTAGACCTGCATTCATAGGCAGGTCCACAAAACTGCACCCCCTGCCCCTCACACCTTTGCCACCCTTTTGAAAAGACCAAGACCAAAACAAGCATGTTGATGTGTGTCAAACAGGACAAAAACCCTCTGATGTCACCCAAAGAAGAAATGTGCCAAGAGAGACCTGAACTCCTACATGCACACACAGGACCCTCAGTTGCTGCTGGCTGGGATTTCCAAAGAGGAGGAAGGTGCCTTACCCCCGTGGGTTTTCCACTGGTTTCATTACCCATTATGCTGGCGCTGTGAGACTGCCCCAGGGGCTGATACAACAAAGGACCTGGGGGCAGGGCCCCGGAGATTAGCAGCCGATGTAACAGAGGAGAAAAGGCTGTGGCCGCTGTTAGCAGAAGTGGCTGCTGACCATGCTGGAGAGGCTCCTGGCACCCAGCAAAGGGAGGTGAGCGCTGCACAAAACTGCTGCATTACAAGGCCAGGGCAGTAGCCCTGGTGATGCATGAAACCCAGAGATAAGCCCTGAACAAGACACAGCTCAAAAGACAGGCTCATTTCGCTGTAAGGGGGATCCTCAGTGTAATGCCCATGGATTTCTCTGCTCAGCTCCCAGGAATATTAAAATCTCCCAGACTGAATTGTTGATGCCAAGTGCTCTAAACTGGGAGGACAGAGCTATCAGCGAGAGATGTAAAAGCAGGAAACAAAGAGAGCAGCTGGGGCAGTCACAGAAGCAGAGCAGTGCCAGGACATCAAAAGCGATGTATTAAAGGGCTGCAAGAGGAGCAGAGCACGCGTTACAGGACACCCGTGGACGGAGGCTGCTCACTGCCTGCATGCTGCCTTCACCCTCGCCTTCCTTCAAAGTGTTACTCTCCTCCACAAATCTTTCTCCAGCTTCTCTCTGCTGACACTTGTTCCCTACCAGATGTCCCACCCCCCTGGGTGAGAAACTTGTGCATAAATGGCATCTGAATGTCCGCAGCTCGCAATGACTCCAATCCAGGCTTCCAACAACAATTGCACAACTTCAACCATTGCAATTAAAGCGCGGTTTTTACTACCCCCCCGATTCCAAGCAAATGAGACTGAAAATGCAAGCATCCATTATCCTTCCAATGGTTTGCAGTGTAGCTCCCCAGCCAGCAACCCAAATGTCTTTCCCATAGCTTAGTCTCTCCCTGAATGGGCTGAGTGGATACTGGATTTGTGTTGTGAGGATGCTTTTTTTTGTCTTTCCTATAAACTGTTACTAAAAAGAACTAAAAATTCAATTACTGTTGCTGATGCATGTAATATTTTCTGTATCTTTATTGAAAATTATTTCCAGTTACTTAGCACTTCAGCTAATCCAAATGTTACCTCTGGGCATGTGATTATCAAGAGCTGTCATAGATGTGAAATGCCTTGGTGCACAGTCCAAGACAGACAAAGCAGCGCAATAGATTGGTACTCTGAGAGACACTCACATTTTCTGATCGCAGCTTCTTGGCTGGACAGCCTCCATCGACGGGGTGGAGCATGTAATAAAGACGCACTTTGCTTGCATGCTTCCGACTCTGCAAAAGGAAAAAGCAAGAAACGGAGTTGCAATAATCCAAACTTTTTTTTTTTCTGCACAATAGGGAGATTGGAGTCCTGAATGAGTCTTGGAAAAGAGGTACTGGGAGGAAAGTGGGGAAAACCAGAGTAACTCCTACATTCAGAAACTAATTTTCTGGGGCGCTGGCCTTGTCTGAGGAGCCGAGATTAATCGCAGCATTATTCTTATGCCCTCCTATCCAGACAAAAGTGGCACACTTCGTTCAAATAACGTGCTCAGTCCTGACTTCCCCAGGCCCACAAAATGGGAACAGTTCAGAAGAGGGCAGCATGCGTTACTACCGGACACCAGGGAAGGTTTTCGTACATCTAACAGCACAGGAGGATTTCGTTTTGAGCCGACAGGGCAGGATCCATAAAGAATTAGGCAATAGGCATAGGTTTGACCAATTGAAGCAGCTCCAGTTACTATACTTTAGATGGGATCAAAATTTATAAGGGATATAAAAATCTCATGCTCCAGGAATTAAGCCAACCCTTAACTACCAGGAGGTAGGAGAAAACCTCTCCCATGGGCTAATTATCAGATAATTGGGCATTATGGAGGACGTATGCTTTCCTCTAAAGCACCTGCTGCCTGGCCACTGTCAAACACAGGGGACTGGGCTGGATGAGCCACCGCCGCAGCTGGTGCAGGCATTCCCGTTCATCTCCCTTCGTTTGGGAGCCTCACCGCAAAACCTTGCCTGGTACTGCAAGACTTTGGGGAAGTGATGGTGTCTGGGAAGGGGCTCTGCCAGCAGGGAAAAAGCAGGCACATGCTGCACAAGGAAACCAGCCTCCAGAGCCCACGTGCTAGACAGAGCCCCAGCCACTCATCAGTCTCCCCTCAAGCTGGATACGAGACATGCCGTCCTGGAGAACACAGGCCCCAGGCACTCCCATGCCCCCAGCCCGGCGTCAGTCACTACTGGATGTTTCCTCCTTTTATTCTGCAGGCCAAGGAGCGCACTGCTCCCTGTTTGGTAACATGGGGGTCCATCTCCCTCTTCGGACCATTCTTATTCTGGTCTAAGCATTCCCAAAGGGCTTGGCTCCCCAGATAAACTTGTCCATAAAAAAACCCAAATTATAGCAAAGTGGACTGACTCGACCCTCAACCGGGAATACATCATATTGTCAGTCCGCAGCGAGTACAAGTGGCTGCGATCAGTTTGGTGACACAGAGAGGCTGTCAGTGGCATTAGCCTGAAGTCCGTCAGAAGGCAGACTTGAAATGCACCTTTATAGACCAACTATGATCGATGTATAGAGAGAGCAAGCTTTTGCAAACCTAACTTTATTTAGTCAGAGGCTGCGAAAGTCTGTGCTGAAAGCAAGGCATAAGGAGGAGAGAGTCCCTGGTCCTACACGTCGCCGGTAAAAGCGCTGGAAGTGATTTATGATGCCATTCAGGCCAGGCACAGACTGTGCTTTGAACTCTTTGGCAGAGGAGGAGCCGAAGGAAGTGAGAATAATAGGGGAGAAAAAGTATTGGATAGTCAAGGACTTTGATTTCCTCAGTCATATCAAATCCCGTTAGCTTGCAAATGAAAAAGGCTGCACACGGGGCGCGAGCCAGCCGATGGCTGCCAGAGGCACTGGGCAGCGAGCCTGGTGTCCAGGTCAGACACGGGCTGAGGGCGACATGGAAGCACTGCAACCCCCCGGCGTGGGGCACGTTGCAAATGCAGACGCAGCCGGATAGGTAGAAGCTACCAATTAGTCGCTTGCACCCGTTGCAATTGGCCCAGGGAAGCAAAGGATAAGAAAAAGCAGCGGCAACATCCCCCATCTTCTCCACCATGCGATCGTGTGAACACGCACAAGTGCATGCGTATATACAAGATATATTAATAAACCCTCTAATGACAAGCATTTGGCAAAATTAATATTCCCATTTTTAATTGCTAAGAATAAACGCTTATAAACGAGGCTGAAAGCAGTTCAGCTCCCAACGTCGCTATTTCAGAGTGTCATTTGTGCGAAAAGTGCAGCTGAGGCAAAAAGAAAGGAAGGGAAGAGGAAGAAAGAAAGAAAAGGGAGCTGGAAATAGCAATTACTTTAAATGGTACAGAGGGTCAATTTCATGCTATTTCTTGCATTAACAATTTTGCATTTTAAGCAAAGTCATTACTTTGATTCAAGCAGCACTGGTTTCATGCTTCTGGGATTGGCCAGTGCCTGCCTCCTCCCCCTCTCCTTTAATTAAAGCCCTTGCCCCCGAGTGCTCCCAATTCTGCTCCAGGCAAGAGTCCTTCCCACATTTCTGTGTGCATCTGACAGAGCCCCCAGGCCTGCAAAGAGAAAGGCTTGCACGGGGACACAGGCGGGTTTAATTTGCGCTACAGAAAAAGGCTAACCACCGTTTCAGGGCTCCCGATGGAAAAGCCTCTCTTTGCGGGGTGCCTTAAGACACCTATGGAATTGCCTTGCAAAGTCACACCTGAACTATGCATCCCCTTGCAAACCAGGCAGTAACGCGTCCCAGGGAACGGCACCCTGGCCAGCAACCTCCGGTTCCCCAGCAATTCCCATTGCAGGAAAGTTTTCACAGAGCTTGCTCTTGGGGAGGGGGACTAGAAAACACCGGGAGATGCCAGGGTGGGATGATTTCCTCCTGCACTTAGCAGCTCACGGGAGTGACATGATAAATAGGACTCCCACACTGTGTTCCCAAGTAATTGTGTATTCTGGGCAAGTGAAAAAGGAGAGTGAAATGTACTCCTCCTATTAGCACTGATTGACAACGTAAATGTTATGATTGTTAAAATACGAAGACACGCTAAAAGCTTCCCTTGCAAAAGCCCTGAGCTGGCGCACGTAAGTTTTTAGGGCATCATTTAATCACAGTTAAAGCCCTCCTTTGCCAGGAGATCTCAGGGAAGGAAGCTGCAGGCAACAGCCTCACATGCACAAAATCCAGACCAGCAGAGCAGCTGTTATTATGCAAACGTATCGGCAGGAAAACTCCATCCTGACTGTCCTGCAGGGCGACTGCACCACTACTTACAATTTCAGATCACAGATTTGCCAGTTTAAAAAATTAACTTACTATTAAAACGTGGCACAGCAGTTTCTCCACCGTGCAAATGCAGAGCTAAATCTGTATGCGTAAATGTGACACTGCATTTTAAAGAGGATCATCCAATAAAATAACATAAAATAAAAAAGGAACAAATTAGTCAAGATAAGTCATGTCAAATAGCTCCTCCTTTTACACGGTGGGAGAAAATGTGATTTTCCCAGACCCCAGCTTTGCCTATAGCCAATGCAGTTCAAGTTAAGTAGAGCCAAGCCCAAACTTTGCTGCCGGTGACTAAAGTCCAGACCAACCGTTAGGTAATTAGCCACGGCAAAGCAAATCTGTTCGAATTACATGTGCTGAGCAGCGCAAGTGAATCCCATAACTCACTGGTTCCACATCCAGGCGGCCCTGGCACATCAGCCATCAGCCGTCTGGACGCTTGGAAACCTGGGACCTGATCCGCAGCCCAGGGAAGGTGACACAAGGGCTCTCATGGCTTTCAGCAGCCCTTTGACCGGTCCTAAACTGGACCCAATGGCAGATGGACTGTGCAGCTGGAGGCAGGAGATGGCACAGAGCAGGCCCAGGGTCTCCGCCCTGCAGGCCCTTCCCAGTGGCCTGGCAGCGAAGAGGAGACTGGATCCAGCTGCAGGTCCATGTAGCCCAGTCCCCCGTGTCCCAGTTGATACCCCTTCCAAAACATGCATTTCCAAGCCCCTCGGAGACCGTCACGTGCAAAGAGCCTTCTTTTTGTTCTGTTTATCCTCACGTGCCCTGCCGTCTAGCTGTACCTAACTATACCCTTTTCTGTCTGGCAAAGTTCTTATGTAATAAAGAAAGATTCATTTTTTTTTTGTTTTGTTTTTTTTAAGATTTAAAGGCACAATTTTAGCAGCAATCATTTTTAGTGCCGCTTTCTGTAGGGCTCACGCTGTTCCACAATAAATGATGCCAAAGCATCATCATTAAAAGGCAACCAAAGCCCTAGCCACCAAAGCCCTAGCTAACCTCTCACTTTTATTTATTCCTATTTATTCATTCAGATTCATTTATGTATGCTAAAAAGAGGGGATATATCATTTTAAATGACACATCGAGAAAGACCCTAGCGTACCCAAGCTGTGGCTGTCCTGTCTGGTGCAGCCTTTGCCGGTTAGTTCAGCGCTCAAGATCTGTCCTTAGCCCTTTGCAGCAATGCACTGAACATCTCATTTTCAGGAATGGGGAGATGGAGGCGCATATCTGTCAACCCACTTTGTCTCCAGTACTTTCCGCATTTACATGTGTATTTATCATCCTAACGCCCCATGGTGAGAGCGAAGCAGTCTTTCTCCACACCCGGCTTGCACGCTGGTTCTCTTTCCTTTCCGTGCAGCCGACTTGCAGTCGGCAGCTTGGAGGTGTGAGAAAGGGGAAGTGTTAAAGGAGGTGAGGATAGGACTTTTGCTGACAGCTCTCCCGGCAGCATGCTGAGCCCCGCAAAGAGCTTATAGCACCTCCGAGCTCAAAGTCCAATTTAGGAACCCAATTCAAAAGCTTCCCTCGCACTGCTGAGCACGAACGCCGAGGTAAAGACACCCAGGGTACAGCAATGACTGCCAGGGAAGTGTGATGCATGCCAAGTGCTCCATCGCTTGCTCGGTGCAAAATCCTTGAGTCAAGGCCATGCACAAAGATTCACCAAGAAGTGCCTGCCTGCCTGCCAGCTCAAAGCCAGACTGCACTGGGATAACTCAGCATCCTTCAGCCAGCCCTGCAGGCACGTGGACAAAAGGGAACCTACAGACAACCGGTTATCTGATTTAGGAGCTTCAGATTAAATGGGACATCGCTTGTTTTACCAAATACTTTACATGCGAAAGTGCTTGGGGAAAAAAAAAAAAAAAATGAAGTCCTTGCTTTATAGCTCGCAGGCAAAAGGAGGGGCAGCCAGTCAAGGGACCAGTGCTG